TCCTGTCTATCACTCCCTAGGAGAGTCCAATTCACCACGAATGAGAAAGCTAGCCACTGGAGGGGCTTCTGTACTCTGCTTAGAAGGAGCGGAGTCTTGGGGTAGTGCAGACAAGCTTTATTCAGCCCCTCCCTATAAGGGTCTGGTTTCTGAGTCCCGCAGTAATGGCTGCTGGCTTCACACATCTCTGAGAGATCTCTGCCCACTGCTGACAGTCTGGTCTCTCCCTGTTTGGGGCCGTCTATCAGCGCAATAGGGTGGTTCTGTTTTCCTCCCAAACAAGAAAGCCAGCCTCGCATTAGCTGTCCGCCCTCTCCGCGCTCCGCAAGCAAGCTGGCAGTGAAGTTGGGCGGCCGCCTTTTCACACACACAGTTCTCCGTATCTTCACAGTTCCTGAGGTTCAGCGTGCCTTCTCTCTCCTTCCCAGATGGTAGAGCCTCCCCTCAGCCAGCCACCCGGCGCTTCAGGGCGATGTTTCCCCTGTTTTTCAGTTCTAAATTCAAATTTGTTGTGGCAGGCTGCTTTCGGGTGTCTACCCTGTGACGCCATCTTGGTTTCTCTGTTTTCTTTCTTTTTAAGTTTATCTATTTTGTTCATTAGTTTATTTTATTAGATTCCACATATAAGTGAGATCATTTGATACTTATCTTTCTCTGGCTGGCTTATTTCATCCATGCTGTAGCAAATGGTAAGAGTTCCTTCTTCTTTATAGCTGCATAATATTCTTGCATAAAGTTTTTCTTTTGTCTAAGAGAAGACACTATACCTTAAGACAATATATCATACTTTTAAAGCCTCAATTTTACAATTTCCTTTCTTAGTGTAAAAATGGTTTCTAAGTTTCAAGTTTTTAATTAATCCCTAATTAATCTTTTACACTAACTGTTCCTGGCATATAAAATGCCTAATATAAAAATTTAAGTAGTAACAGTTATTACTTCTGGCAAAAGGATAAGAAGGTAAGGTCAGTGGTCAAAATTAATTAGGATTATCTCTAATACTATAATTAAATTTTTTTTACAAAAAAGAAAAATATCCATTACTTAAACAATTAAAAACAAACAACGAACAAGCTTTTAATTATATGTGACAGTACACATTCTCTGATCTCTAGTTCAAATTTCATTTCTAGAAAACACTATAGCACTGTTTAATCTATAATTAGACAACTCAGAGTTTAAAATAATTGAAGGAACTCAATTTCCAGTAACTCAAAATAAAAATAAAAGAAATCACTCAATTTTATGAACTAATGACAAAAGAAAATGTCAAACTACAAAAATGTAAATATTTATAAATGAAAATAGCAAGACTATTTTCCAACTTTAACAGTGTACATATGGCCCTGGCCGGTGGCTCATCTGGTTGGAGCACTGTCCCTATACACTAAAGAATTGAGGGTTCAATTCCAGGTCAGGGCCCATACATACTGATGCTGTAGGTTCAATCCTATGTCAGGGCGCATACAGGAGGCAACTGATCAATGTTTCTCTCTCTCTCTAAAAATTAATAAACATATCCTCAGATGAGGATTTAAAACAGTATATATATATATATATATATAGTGTGTTTAATAATAATTCCTATGTATAAAAGGGAAAAAAAAATCCCACTAGGTATATATAAATGTTATCTATTAATAAGAATAAATTTACTTGAAAAAAGTTCTCATACCAAGTGTATGATTTTCTGACACCAACCCACAAAGAATTGATTTTTACTTAAAGTTAATTTTTACTCTGAAACAAGCAAAAACACACACACAAAGGCAACTTTTGAAAATCATAAACTTCAACTAAAAGCCTTTTCAAGAAACACTATATGATAGCTATAATGTTATGTGTAAACAATGAAAATGACAAATTATTTTCTTAAGACATAGTCTCTAATAATCACCAATAGCCTCATCCTATTCTACCTCTCTCTAGTTGCTGATATTAAATCTCCTTGCTTCCACTAATATTAGTCTTTCTTATTTCTACCTTCCTAATACACCTTATCAATCTTTACTGAAGCCTCATTTTCCCTGAAACACACTTCTTATCTTCTGGGGAAATTCATTCATTTCAGCAGAGGCTTCAAGGATCACTTAATAATAATGACTCTCAAATCCACATCTCCAGCTCTTTTCTCTAAGATGCATTCCAGTCAATCAAAGATGTTCCACCAAGATGTTCCCCAAGTAATACAAATTTAACTTGTTTAAACCAAAAGCACCTCTTTCCTTCCTATCCCCCACTCAAAACAGAGTGCTCCTGCGCTGGCCAGTGTGGTCAGTGATTAGAGCAGTGGCCTACGCATCAAAGAATCACGGGTTCGATTCCCTGTCAAGGGTACATACCTATGTTGCATGTTCATTCCCTGATCTTTGTTGAGGTGCGTGAGGAAGGCAACCAAATCGATGTGTCTCACATTGATGTTTCTTTCTCTTTCTCCTCCACCTCTTTCTCTCCCCCTCCCCCTTCCCTTCCACTCTCTAAAAAAAAAAATCAATGGAAAAAATATCCTTGGTTGAGGATTAACAAATAGAAAGACAAAAATTGAATGCTCCTACTGGGTTCCTTATATCAGTTAACTGCAGCTATACTAACAAGACATTTTCAACTCTCTCTCTTCTCACATCCTCTTTGCCGCCTTAGTCCCTAAATCCTATTTGAAGCTACTCCCATGAAGTACATTTCCTCATTTGCCTTTCCACTGCTATCACCCTATTCATCTCATTTGGTAACAGCCTTCTGGTTGGTCTTTCTGCCTCTAATCTCTCTCTATTCTCAACTATAAACTATATAGTGTGGCCAAAGCCGGTTTGGCTCAGCGGTAGAGTGTCAGTCTGCGGACTCAACACTACTATCTATAGAATAAGGTCCAAATTCCTTAGCACAGCTTTTAGGGTCTATCACAACTTTGCCCCAATTATTATTCCCAACTTCACCTTCTACCATCCACCTCTTAGTAATTTATATACTCCAGCAGATACACCACAAAAATGATTCAACTTTTCTCCTCTGCTCTGTCAATCCCTACTACCTTGAAACATCCTCCTACCTAAGTAGTCTGTTAATCTTCCATAAAACAAAATGAACTGTTCTTCCCTCTATGCTGCCAAATACTTTGTTCATACCTCTAGCACCCATCATAAAATATTAGTATTAGAGTACAAGTCTGCCTCTGATAGCCTGAGTCTTATTCATCTTAACATTTCCATCCATTGCATGCCACATGTGTGTATCAATGTTTATTTAATTGAATTGAAAATGAAGCCTTAGGGGTGATCTATAATTAAGGGTTTGCTAGAGAGAGAGTATGCATAAAGGAAAAAAAATTCAGAAGAAAGATAATTAGGAAAACACAATGTCATTAAACTGTTTTTTTCCTTTGCAATCTAAAGAGTCAAATGTGACCGAGGCAGATGAGGATTAAAAAACTACCTTTTCTGACAAAAAAGTATTGCTATGAATATAGCTAACAAGAGCAAACATATTTAACAAATAAAGATACATAACAATAACTAAAAGATATAACTCCAGTGAAAAAATAGGGTAAAAATGAGCAATTAATTCATAAAAGAAAAATGGAAGACATAAAAAATTCCTCAAATTCACTAATAATCAAAAAAATACAAGTTAAAAAATTAAATATTATTTTTCACCTATCAAATTGTAAAATTTTTTTAAATGACAATATCCAGAAGGATGAGGATGAAATGATTATGCCCATGCATGTCTGGGGGTAATGTATATTAGTACAACATTTCTGGGACCAATGTAAAAACATATATAGAAGAAATCCTAAAAATATTCATACCCTTTGCCTCAGTATTTTCACTTCTAAAAATTTATACTAGAAAAAATGGAAATGCAAAATGTATGCATAAGGATGTTCACGGGAGCACCATTTAGAGGACCAAAAATCTGGAATCATAGATGTCTAATAACAAAGAAGCAGTTAAAATAATACATTTCTACACAAAATATATTACATAACAAAAATTTTTAAAAATATTTACTATCACAGGAAAAAGATCATAGCTTGATAGTAAATGAAAAAGGAAAAAACTGAACTTAGGATGGAATACAGAATGGGAAGAAATATATAAATTCTTAACTATAGTTATTCCTGTGCAGAGTCATTATTAGTCACTAAGATTATGTAATAGTTTTAAAATTAAGAAAAAACTATGTTGTTTTTAAGATTACTTGATTTTCCCTAAAATAACTTTTGCAAACTTAAAGGAAGAATATAAACCATTTGTTAAAAAGAGTTCAATGGTGGTTCAATGGTGGCAGAAACAAATGGTGGTTAAGAAGATTAAGTTAAATAAAGCGTAATCATTTAAACTGTAGGAGACATGAAGATATTTCAAATCAGAAAGGAGAGATGCTAATGATGAAATTCAGGATACTAAAAGGGGAGAGAATAATACATGTAAATTATAGACCTCTACCTGTTATTAAAATACAAAGAGCATGAATGTAATACATATGTACTCCACTGAGACAATTATTTAATAAATAGAGTTACTGTCACAATATAAACAGACAGAAAAGATATTATCAGAGTGAATTAATTAGTTCTATTAGAAAACTTCAAAAACAGAAGTTCTTTGGGGATATCAAAGACGGTATCTTTGTATAAAACATTCTTGAATCATTTAACATAACATGTACTGAACATTTATTAAATGAAAGACACTGTGAGCGATAGCCTCTGCTCCATAAAGATCATATTCACCTAGAGAATCTAGATATTAAAAAACAAACTCATGAACAAGCATAATGAGTACTCTGGAAAGGGACCCATTAGGTATAAGGAAACATATGACACCATGACAAGGAGGGATCAAATTAAAAACCAGATTAACAAACAAACATGAAGACTAGAGAAAAGATTAGAAATGCTGAGCATATATTATACTGTTGTTTACAACACTTTATGCTTAGAAAAAGAATGAATATAAAAACCATTGCTGTGATTAAAGATAGTTATGAATAGTACTTACCTATACGAAGGTCTCTTTGTAAAACATTCTTATCATAAACATAGAAAGACAAATACTGAAAAGTTCTTGGAATATCAAAGTAAAATTCTTCACTGAAAAATGGGCTAGAGAGAAAGGGGAAAATTCATTATTATAAATTTAACAGTGTCCTCAAATATTTTCAATAAAATTAAATTACACACTAAAAAAACATAAGAAAAGCTTCAGAAGCTCCAAAATAATTATCTATGCTAAATTACAACCAAATACTGTACAACCAAGTTGAACTCTGAAAGGACCTCAATTACAAGATTGAGCTCCGAACACACAGCTTTTCAGGAATCATGTGAACAGAAGACTCAGTAACTGCCTAGGTTCATGCTCACCTAAAGTGGACACAAATGAGAGCGGAGGACAGTGTCGTCATCATCATCTCAGAAATAGTAAAACTATATTAATTACAATAATATGTAACACCTGAAATGTGTGTTATGTAACATGCTACTTCAAAATATATTTTAGCCAAAACAGATTTGGCTTAGTGGATAGAGCGTCGGCCTGCGGACTAAAAGGTCCCAGGTTTGATTCCTGCAGGTTCGATTCCGGTCAAGGGCATGTATCTTGGTTGCAGGCACATCCCAAGTAGGGGGTGTTCAAGAGGCAGCTGATTGATGATTCTCTCTCATCGATGTTTCTAACTCTCTACCTCTCTCTCTTCCTCTTTGTAAAAAATCAATAAAATATATTTTTTTAAAAACACAAAAAATATATATATTAAAATATAAAACAAATTATTTTTAATCAACTTTACTGAATTATAAATTACATATAATAAAATTCAAAGTATAAAGATTAATGATTTTTGATAAATTTATAAACCGTGTAGCCTCCATCTCAATTAAGATATGGTAACTATATTTTTCTCCTTTGTATCATTTTTATAAACAATTATAAAATGGAGAATTTCTTTTATATATCATACATCCACACTTTAGTATTATTTTTAAAACACATTCTAAAGCCAAATAAAAATAACATGAGACTTATTTACCAAGTAATCTGTGTCACTTTATCATCCCAATCTCAACAATACTTATATTTGGTTGGCCCCATTTTTATTTTATAAATAAATAAATTAATCAATTCATTTGTAGAAAACTTTTCAACAAAGTTCATAAGAGCAATGATTAGATCATGCATATGACTCTCCTAAGGAAATTCCTGGTGTGGAGAAGAGGAGCCCCAGGCAGAAGCTGTACTGCCTGTCCTCAAATTTATGAGTTAGAATTTACTATGATACTCTCCAAGTGCTATTGCACCTTCAAAGATGAGAAATCTACCTAAGAGTTCATTCCTTTACAATGCCCTACTTAGTTAAGTGACTTGTATAAACTATAGGAAATTATTTTTAAGATAAATGAAATAATGATGTAGTTTGAGAAAAGTTCAAATGAATGGGCAAAATTCAGCCTGAAGAAAGACTGAGGTATATAACAGTTGTTTTAAAAAACTTGAGAGTGTCATGTGAAGCTTGTTCTCCTGAAATCCAAGGGACATAATTAAGAACAGTTAAGAGGAAGATATACTTTGAGCAATGAAAAGCCACACGAAAGCAAGCAAGCACTGTGTCTATCTTGTTGTCATGGATATATTAACGCACAGCTCCCTGCACTTTCTTAGCATATAGTAAATTCTTTTATTAGACATTAACCAACTAAAAATAATAGCTTTCTAAGCGTCAGAATATTTCTAAGATCAGACAGGCTGACTAGGAGGCAGTAAACTCCTTGGTCACTGGTACCTGATCAAGCAAATGCCAGGAACCACCTGTCAAAGACAACTGTGAGAAGGAAACAAGCATAAGGCAGCCAGTCTAGCTCAATGACCATTAAAGGCTCCTTCAAACTCTGAGATTCTGCAATTCCAAAATTAAATTCAGAATGTAAAAGAAAAAGTTTCATATCAAGAAAGTCTTTTTGATGAAGTCTGAAAAGTACATACAATTTATTAATAAATATATCATATGAATTATAATTTACCAATTTTATACAAACCTTAAAGATTTTTCAACAACTTGAGTACGATAAACTTCTTCCTGATCCAAATTTATGGTGCAGAAACAATCTCTCATTTTGTTGGGTCCAAGATAAGGCAATAAATTTTTTGCTTCACCTGTTGGCATAAAAATTGAAACTGTTGTTAAATATCACTAGCTGCTTCATGCTAAACCTTATATAGATTAATTCATCCAAAAGAACATATAAGATGTGGCACAGGAAAAAAAAATTAGTGGTTAGAAATAGATGATCAACTTGTAAAGGAGTCTGGTGATACTGAGGGAGAAGCTGTGTTTAAAGGGGCGTGAGGTCATATTACAACACTGTATCTCTGTTCTGAGAAAGGGGTAATCCCCCAACGTGTGCTTTCTATCCCATTCCACCAGCACCAACTCAAGAACTTGACTCTATAATTAATCCTTCTTTCTTATATCATCAGTAGTTTTCCTTTCTAGTAAATAGTTCCCATCAGCACATAAACAAGCTTTGGTATTTCCCAATTTTAAAAAAGCATAAAAAGAAAATCTCCTTTGACTCCTCCTCCTTTGTGGTATCATGCCATCTTTAGAGTTCCTTTCACAGCAAAACTTCTTGAAAGTAATTATCTCCAGTCATTCTCTAATTCCTCATCTTCCATTCATTCTTCAACTCTTTCCAATCAGCTTCTAATTCCATGATGACACTGAAACTGCCTCCCAACCAGTGGTCAAGGACAATAGAGGGATGGAGGCATGAGTGGGGAGGGGTGGGGGATTGGAATGGGGGTGCTGGGGACAAATATGTGATACCCTAATCAATTAAGAAATTAAAAAAAAAAAAAAAGAAAGAAAGAAACTGCCTCCCATATTGCCAAGACCAATAGTAATTTCTCTGTCCTCCTACCTGATCTGGCTGCACTATCCTATGTAATAAAAGGGCAATATGCAAATAGGCTGAAACGACCAGCGGAAATGACTGGTCGCTATAAGGTGCAATGACCACCAGGGGGCAGACACTCAATGCAGGAGCTGCCCCCTTGAGGTCAGTGTGCTCAGACAGGGGAAGCGCCGCTCAGCCAGAAGCCAGACTCACAGTTACAGCTCCCGCCTCCATAGCAGCAGTAAGGGCTCCCAGACTGTGAGAGGGCTCAGGCCAGGCTGAGGGTCCCCTTCCCCTCCTGCCCTGAGTATATGAATCTCATGTACCAGGCCTCTAGTTTAAAATATGTTTTTTAAAAAATAAATTAATACTAACATCCATCCTTAAATTGTCCTCTTTTCTTGGCTTCCATAACTCTGGCTTTCCTCCTACATCACTGGCCCTCTCTCCTGATGTCTCTCCCTCCTCACCTCTAAATCTTACAATGCTTTAGGGCTCTGTTGTGGACCACCTTCTTTCCTTTCCCAAGAAAACTCCTTCAGTATATGGTGCTAATGCTGATGCTTCCCAAGTCTACATTTCCAGGTCTGCTACCTTCTTGTCAACACTAACTATGAATACCCAAGTGTCTCCTTGGATTCTGTAGGTATCTCAAATTTAACAAGTCCCAGACAAATCATCTGACTTCCTCCCTTAAAACAGGCTCTTTCCCCAGTCTACTCCATCTTCCTCTTTTTCTCACCATCCTCCCCAAACTTCCCACCCACACATTGAGTCCATCAACAAATCCAACAGACCTTCCAAAATAAATCCTAAATCCAAACACTCTTCAATCACCTTCACTGGTTGCACCCTATAATCTACTCTCCTTCAAGCAGTGTGTGGGGTCTTTTAAACACATCATCCAGGCCAGCCACTCCCCTGCTACAATACCATTCCATTTCACTTAGAATATAATCCCATTTCTAAATTCCCATGGTCATGGTCTAGACAACCCTACTGAACTGCCTTCTCCTCTCTGACCTCTTCTCCCACTTTCCCCAGTGTTCACCTTCTTTCATCAACCATGCCAAGCTTGCTCAAGCTTCGGGCCTCTGCGTGGAGTGCTCTAACCCGTAGCTGGCTCTTATCTCTCAGGTCTCAGCTCAGATGTCACTTCCTCAGAGAAACCTTCCCTGACTACTGTTACTACATTTTATTTCTCTGTTTCTTTTCATGATAACATTTATAACTATCTGAAATTGTTAATATTACATAAGTGCCTATTTTCTGATTCCCTCATTCTTGAGGCCTGAGAATTTGTTGATACCCAAGGTCTAAAATAGTGACTGCCACCCAGTAAGGAAGACACTTGAGAGAATTTGTTGAATGCATATTAAGGAAACCAATACGTCTAGTTTGAAGTTCTTGTAAGATGTGCTTGGGCCACAATGACACACAAAAGTGTGAGTGCTGAAATCAGACACCAATGTACTAAATTAGAAAAGCAAGACAGTTGGCATAAGGAAAAGAGCTTTGCCCTAACAATTATGAAACCAATGTTCTGTCTTACCTCTGTTAAGTGGCTAAATGACTTCAGACAAATCACTAGGTGACAAATCAGTGCCTAACTCACCAATCAACCTATATAATAGGTAATATGCAAATTGACCATCACGCTCTCACAAGATGGCTGTCTATGACCAGGCCAGCAGGGGGGTTAGTGATGGAAAACCTGGTGAAAGTTTGGAATAGATAAACTTAAGTCTCTTATTGTTTATCAACTTTAAAATAAAAGGCCATTTAAACCAATATATTTAAAATAAGTTTATTAGAAAGTTAAGGAGCACCTATAAAAAAAACCTCAATAAACAAATACTTTTTAAAAATTAAAATGAGAAAATCAATGAAAAGGTACCAGTTAGATAATCATTGTTACTAAACTTGTCATTGGAAATTAGGAAAAAAAAAAAAAAAAGTCAATTTATCACTTAAATGGAAGATATGAAAATACTTATATTCATCTCAAGTAAGAATCAAGGAATCTAATCTTTTAAGTGACCCTAAAATTGCATCATATGGGTCAAGCTGTTTCTTAACAGGAAAAAGAATATATATTTGATTTTGTATCCATCCATTCTCTTCCTCTAGATGTCCCTCCTCTCAAACAAGGCTCATCTGGAGTTCATTCATCTACCTGTGCTCTCTCTACCCCATCTCTTCCCTTTCACTCCAGAGCACTCAGCAATTCTGTTTTCATTATTTTCAACCCTCTGTTCCTTTAAGTCTCTCCTTTGATAACTCCCATCTGTATAATATGCATTTTATTTTAAACCAAAATCCAACTAGGTCACTCTATGGGGCCTAGAAGGTAAACAAATTTGGAATTAAATCATAATAGGCATGCTCCATATCTAATGAGAAAACTTGGAACACTTAAATCATTGGCCTTGAATATGTTCCTGTTTCATTCACATAAAAGTGAAGTTTAAGAAAACTACACTATTAAATGTACACATTTCCAATGCCCACTTTTTAAAGAGAAAATGGAGATTATGTTTTCTGTAGCATCCAATGAACTTGACACTAATATATATTTACTTAGAATAAAAACTTAAATTCTATATAATATATAAAATGCACTCATATAACTTCTTATAAAAGCAGTTATCATATTCTTTGTTCAATAATGTTCAAATAAATTACATTGAAAGTGAACTCATCAAATCAGTGCCTAACTCACCAATCAACCTATATAATAGGTAATATGCAAATTGACCATCACACCCTCACAAGATGGCTGCCTATGACCAGGCCAGCAGGGGGGTTAGTGATGGAAAACCAAATGACTGAACAAGCAGGCTGCATGGGGCGACTAGGCCGGCAGGGCGTCATGAGAGGTGACCAGGCAGGCAGGGAGGTCAGTTGGGGGTGACCAGGCTGGTGTGGGGGGGTGCAGTTAGGGGTAACCAGGCTGGCAGGGTGGGCAGTTGGAGGCAATTAGAGTGCCAGGGGATGCAGTGAGGGGCGACGAGGCCAACAGGGGAGGGAAACTGGGGGTGATCAGGCCAGCAGGGGGTCCAGTTAGGGGCGACCAGGCCAGCAGGGAGGTGGCAGTTGGGGACAAACAGGCTGGCAGGGGGGGGCTGTGAGGCTGGGGGCACAAGCTGAGGCCTGATCTCTGCAGGCCACCCAGAGGGACACCACCCATGCATGAATTCGTGCACTGGGCCTCTAGTACAAATATGTTGATTAATCCAGCTATCAAGACTAAACTACAACTCCAAAATATAGTGGTATTTAATTGGCATTTTATAAAAGACATAAATTGAAATAATTAACTGCCACTTTTAAAAGAATCATCAAAAGTGAAGGTCAGAAAAAAAAAGTAATATTGTACCCATTATATCTCTAAGCAAAAAGAGATTATCTTAGTAGCACATACTTTACATCAAGATACACAAAAAGGGAAAACTGAGGAAATTTGGAAGATTGTACTTGTCTTGCATGTGTATTTGCTTTGGGCCTCACTAGTTCTAGTTAATTATGGTATATAAAGAAGCAAGTGCACTAAACAAAAAAAAAAAAAACACAACAAAACAAAACAACTACTCTCCTTAAAAGGCGAGCTTCTTAAAAACTTGTTCTATAAACTGCTCCTACGCACAGTCTGAACCTGCAATTTGTGGTGTTTCTTAACTAGATCCTTCAAGAATACTAATAATACTTAGTGCTACCAAATCAAAGATTGCTTTTCAGTTCCTACCTTATTTAACCATGCTTCAGTATTTGATAGCACTGATCTAGCCTCAGTTTAGGGAACCCACTCCTGATTTCCTTTTACTCCCTTGTTCAGGCTTTTCATCTATTACCCACACTGTAAATGTGAGGCAACTTTTGGCATCCATATGCCACTTAATACAGGTGGAACACCAATTTTAGGTATAGTAAAAAATGTCACTATAAAAAAATTTTTTATACACACACACATACACACACTAAAAAAAAACAGCTCTATCTGTTGCTCAGAGGTAGAGAATCGGCCTCAGAGTGAAGGGTCCCGGGTTCAATTATGGTCAAGGGCACATGCCTGGGTTGCAGGCTTGACTCCCAGTGAAGGTGTGAAGAAGGCAGCTGATCAACAATTCTCTCTCATCATTGATGTTTCTATCTCTCTCCCATCATTGTTTTTTTTCCTATCTCCAAATAATAATAATAATAACTATATATATATAGTTATTATATATATATATGCGCACAAAAATTTGTGCACTCGGT